CCCCCCCCCCCCCCGTATGAATTATGGTCCCTCTTATGCCATCGCTATCATAAAAGAAACATAGAATCGCTCCTGATTGTAGATGCCCTGTTAGCTCTCCCGTTGTTCGAGCTGAGAAAGCCGTTTCCTTCGCTTGCCCAGTCTGATTTATCACACGAATGCTAAGAAGCTCTACAATCACATGAATCTGTTCACTGTCCCAACAGATTCAAATCTCCATCTCTACATTAAATGCAGAATTAAAGTAATCCTAATAGTGTTGTTTTTTATGTTTGATTTGATGGTTATTTTACATGCTCTGGGGCTTTTCGTTCCTCTCCTCCACTGTTGTCTGGCTTCTCTCTCTCTCTCTCTCTCTCTCTCTCTCTTTCCCCTTTTCCCTGTTTCATGCACCATTCAGTATAAACAATGTTGTAAGGGACTGCAACACACTCATGTCAAATGCCTTGTACTGACCCTGTTGTGAAAGGCGCTATATAAAAATGTATTGAATTCTCCCATCCCCAGTCTGGCTGGTTCTGAATGAAGGTGCGTCTTACCACAATTAGCATCCAGTTAAAGCATGGTAAAGAAGAAGGCCTTGTGAATTCTTATTAATATTTCTGTTCATATTTTTGGAGGTTAGTGTGTGTGTGCCCTGTCATGGGTGCCCTGGATTGCTCTGGACCCCCCATGACTCTGAATAAGACAAATGGTTACAGGAAATGGATGGATGGATTGATTTTTGGTGGTAAAGGTTGATTTTTTATAGATGGCAAGACCAGAAAAGTCAAACACAAAAATTGCAATTTGCTTGATGTAGGATTCAATTTAAAAGGACAAAAAATGCCTATTCTAACCACAATGTCGTTAACTCTTTAATGGTTTCAGTTTTGGGCAGGGGTCTTTGCCAACTAAGTAACCTGCTGCACTCAAGATGGCCGTCTGAAGTGGATGCACGTGTAGAAGTCGCAGAGCCGCGTGGCCCGAGACGACACACCTAAGATGGCGGAGGACTTCCTGAGCAGCACCCTGTCGGCATCAGAGCGGGCGGCCCTGCCCGCGCCCTCCTCGCTGACGCTGGAGCAGAAGGCGGCCTTCGTCTTCGTCCTGCTGCTCTTCGTCTTCCTCGGCCTGCTGATCGTGCGCTGCTTCCGCATCCTGCTGGACCCCTATCGCAGCATGCCGTCCTCCACGTGGACCGACTACATGGAGAAGGACACTTTCGACTATCGCATCGCCTGAGCACCGCACCACAGGGACCAGGGACCCCTGAGAGTCTCCCGGTGTTGTCCTCAGCCATGTAACCTCTTCTTAACCCTTTAACAGTTAAAAAAAACTTTTGTATTCGTTATTTTTATTAATGCCTAGCCATTACACTGCTCATCAGTGGGCATTTCGATTGTTTCACTCAGTAGAAAGAACACTAAAAGGTGTAAATGTGAAGCGTAAGTACAGCACATCTCACCAAGCCTCTAGGATAAGACTGTTGAGCCTGGGATTAAGTCAAAAGGAGATGTAGCTATAGAGGTGGAAATTTCAGGTCCAAAAAGTACAAATCCAGACCAAGATTTTGTTTCAACCCAGCCACTTAAGTGCTCTGTGACTCTGACTCTTTATACTCAACTGGTTGATCGAAACAGAATCTTGTCTGGATTTGTACTGTCAGGACCAGCACCTTCCACCACTGTGCAGCTAGTGGGATGTATACAAAGGTTTCTACGTGCTTAGAAACCTTCCCTTTAATCCCTTTGCCTGATTATTGTCGAAAGACTTTTATCTGAAATCTATGCTGAAAATTTTGATTAGTCTAACTGAAGAGCAAATTTCCAAATCTCACTCAGTCCACAGGGTACCTGAAGGGAATATGTTTGTAAGTAAGTATCATGTCCATGGACTGAGTTTTGTACATTTAACAAAAGTTCTTCGCTGGAGTTCATGAGGACTGGATTTGGTTCCCAGTACTGTAACATATGATGAGGAAGCCTGACTTTAGGTCATTGGCGGTCTCACACAACAAAGAATGGACTGAGTGAGTTTGGGAAATCTGCTATTCAGTCCTGATAAGAGAGGTATCAGTAAGTCTCCTCACAACCCAGCCCTTAGCGAAAGAGCATCCCAAGGACCTGTCCGCACCAAACAAACGAGCCCCAGCATGATCAACAAATCCGCAGAAGCTAACGCCCCAGGCTGCCGCCCAGAGTAACCCTTTCCCTCTGACACATAGCCTTTCTGCTCTAAATCACCGCTAACTTTCCCCAGCACAGTTTATAGCATACAGACTGTATATTTCCACCTCTGCGGAAGGTGTGCAGTCGACTCTTAAACTCCCTTTTCAATGGCACTGGAAATTTACCCTTTAAGGATTACTGCGCTGCCACCTCAAATAGCAAGCAGACATGAAAGGTGTAGAATTTTTATCCCCTAATCCACAGCCAAGTTTGCTGTTTGTAGTCCAGGGCTCTGTCAGTATCAAACATGCAGCAGAAGTCACCATTATAAGGATATAACTGACGGCTTAGATGACTAATGAAAAACTAAGACTCTGCTGAGGTACACTGGATTTTGAAGGAGTACCCAAAAAGTAAAGTAATTTGTTGGTTATAGTACAGTTATCAGGGACAATGTGGTTTTATCAGTTGAAGCTGATGTAGGTATGACACTTTAATACATATATGAGATTTTCACCTTCTGCTGTTGAGTAGTTGTTCCTGAATGAAGACTAATGTCACCCCTCCAGGCTATAGCCACTGCGGGAGAGAGGAAGCAGTCACACTAATGCAGTGTTTCTCAAATGTGGTCCTCAGGGACCCCCTGACAGTCCACGTTTTTGTGTGGACTGTCTGGCAGGGAGCTGGGAGGGAGCAAAAATGTGGACTGTCTGGGAGGGAGCAAAAATGTGGACTGTCTGGGAGGGAGCAAAAATGTGGACTGTCTGGGAGGAAGCAAAAATGTGGACTGTCTGGGGATCCCTGAGGACCAGGTGGGGAAACATTCCATTAATGCAAAGCCAACAGTGAAATCTAACCCTTTTCAAAATAGCAGATTATGCGAGGCATGGATATCAGAATGTGTGTGTTGAAACATCCAGCTGGGACCCAATGAAGGTTCAAGAGCATCATTGTTTACATGTTTATAAATATGCATAATGGCACGTCTTTGAGTTCGTGAAGGTGATGCAGTTGGGGGGTCAATGGTCCCTCGGGTCAACACCAAAGCTGGAGATTCTCTTTCCCCACTTTGCACTTGGTAGAAGTCCTTCACACGTGTCTCAGACGTAAGCTGTAATCTGTGGATTAATGGGGTTTACATTTGGTTCATGTTTTGTGGGCCGGTGTTTGTCACAGAATTTTAAACCGATCAAGAATGAAAATATGTGGAATCGATACAATGAAGGACTAGAAATAAAAATGCTTTAGATACAAAACTTGGTTTTAGGCACACAAACCTCCGTGGTGGGTAAAGTATTTGCTTTAAAATTCCGCAAGCATGATGCATTAATGTCAGGAGTCAAACGGCGAGATTTGCACAAGTGTGAGTCACATTGATTATGAAACTATCCCTTTATCGCCAGTGTCTGTTACTCTTCGTCAGTAAAAGACCCCATCGTCGGTACTCTGCCTTATGAAACTGCGTGTTTACAGTGTAAAGCTGGCCAAGCTGTAACTGAATCACCATGGTTTCTGTCACTGCTGAAACGTCAGTCATGCCGAGGTTCCGTAGTACATGTAGGTTCACTGTACTGATGGTGTGCAGTCATGTGATCTTCTTTACTTTGGTTCATTAGCTGATCCATGAGCACCTCTAGCACTAAGACTGTCTGCACGTTCAACACCTGCTCCCTTCAGCGCACTGAGGACGGTGACGGAAGTCCAAAGAACTTGCACTATGTGAATTTACAGCGTGGGGGAAAAATGACCAGCCCGCATTTCATGCTAAGGTTTACTTTGCTGTTAGCTATTTACGGTCCAGCCTACTTTTAAATCGCATTTGGAAATCTTCTTGATATCTGTAACTGTATCTTTTTTTGTAATAAATTTTTCTTGGGTTAACTTCTGTTGTTTCTTAGTTATTTGTTTTTTTGGGAGGGGGGGAGGGTGCTTCATTCACAATGAGGAAGTGAACAAAAAAACAGAACCACAAACTGTGCCTGAAAAACAAGTGAAATGTGCCCTTTTCCAAAGATGCCAAATGTGACAAGCTGAGTGACGTTGACCTTTTCTGTGGAGGAGGAACCTTCAGTCTGACCCCTGCATCAAGCGAGGGCATGAAGCCTGCAGCATGCAGACAGAGCGTAAACATACAGTGAATATAAAAAGCCTGCACAGCCCTGTTAAAATGGCAGGTTTTGTGATGTAAAAAAGCGCAAACAAGATAAATCACATCAGAACTTTTCCCAACTGTGAAAAACATGAAATTGGAACAGATACTAAATAAGTGGGAAAAAACAAGAAACCTTTCAGGAAAAAAATACAAGGTAACACTTTACAGCACGGTTTCTTAGGAACTCAGTTACTGCTCAAGAACGAATCCATAAATATAATTTGTGGTTAATTAATACATTATGTATGTGTTAGTTCATGATTAATTAATAGTATAATAGTATATGACGTGTGCCCCCTCAAAAGTGTCACAAAATGAATATTAAAAACGTACGATGACCTGGTTGCACAAGTGCGCACACCTGTTCATAATTGACGGTGTGGCAGTGTTCAGAATCAAGCAATCACATTAAATATCAGGCTAAATAGCAGTTACTCTACTGCTGCTATCAATTAAAATGACTCTGCTTGATTTGATTATTAGGGGTATGTAAATTATATATATACCTGCTGCAGATAGCGAAATAAAAAATAATACCTATATATCTATTTAATAAGTCAGATATGTCAAAATACAAAAAGCATATATATTGATATATTTAGCAAGGTGTGTGTTGCTCTTAACATGCTATGATCCTCTTAGATACCACTCACAAATCTCAGAGCGTTTTCAAAGTCTTGTCGGAAAACCCCTGCAGACAAGATGTTAGCATAGCTGCGCCGCTAAGTGCCCAGAACGCAGCGGTTTGCCGCGGGAGATGCTGACCCTGACTGCAGCTGGCGTGGACGCATGGTGAATTCGCCGTCTACGCTGGGCAGCCCAGGCAGAAGCGGCCTGCAGTGCACTACCGAGCCGCCTTGATAAATTCGCACCACCACACAAGGGAAGACGTCCTCCAGGATCTTTCTCATGTCACTGCTCATCCTGAACTAGCAAACATCACCAGTGTTGGCTGTGGCCAGCAGGAGAAGATAATAGGAAAGGTTTTCAACACTGTGTGGAAAAAAAATTACTGTCACACTAGGATTCGCAGAAACGCCGGCGCTCACGCCAGGGAGTGATGTGTCTGCCAGTGCTGCATGCTGGGAAGCCAGTGTAAGCTGTCGCTATGCTAGCTTATTGATGGAGCGATAACATCTAACTCCACATATTGCTCAGGAGACGCCGTCCTCAGAATTGCTGGGGATGTCAGAATAACTGACGCACATTTTTGTTCTGGCTCCCGAAAAGCTGAATTTAAAATGGATAATTAGCATGCATGGTTAACTGAAGCCATGAACGAAAGGAAACCTGAAGCCATCATTTTCAGGAATATTTCTGGAGAAGAAAGTCAGTTGAGTGGATCACTAATATACTAAATCTCCTGGAAAATCATATATTTCTATTTTTACAGGACATTTTTACAATGCATTTTAGAGTGCTGCGTTTGATTATATTATCCATAATACAATTGTGCTCTAATAATAACCGATCATGTACAATATATCTAATTACTCAAGGTTGCATATAAGTCAATGGCATAGGATCTATGTGGGTTTGTGTACTCATTATGCCTGAGCAATATATTACCATGCATGTAAAATCCTTAAAATGTAAGATTCTTTTTGTCATTATGTTAGAGTACGCCCCAAAGACCAACACACTTCATGACGATGTTCACTCAGAGAAATAAGCAAATAAACTTAAGAGGCAATTCTTAGGTAATATATCTCTAAGGTTTTTTTTTACTGATCATACTATAGTACTTCTGTGCTTCTGTCATGCTCTGCCTCCATCTGAGTCAGACGTCTGACATTTAAGGTGGATGTTCCCTATGGCAGTTCAGGCCGTGGATTCTGAGGTACGAAAGCAGCCTGTTGGACAGTGGGGATATTTCTGTTAAAATTCTCATTAAACTGGCAGCGTATCATAACCCCAGAGAAGCCTCTTTAATCCCTTGATAACTGCACCACCAGACATTAGGCTTGGATTTCATATAACATTTATATATCATATTTATTAGGCAGACACTTTTGTCCAAAGTGACAATCAGGGCCGGAAGAGCTTTCCTGGAGAAATTTGGGGTTAGGGTCATACTCAAGGGCCCAACAGTGAAATCAATTGAACAGTCAAGGGATTTGAACCAACAACCTTCGTGAGCACAGTCATAACTGGCAGGTTTTCAGGCCTGGTACCACACACACCCACACCTCTGTGACATTTAACCTAATGATAAAAGTTCGGCTCGCTTTCCACACTATGAGCACCATCTGAGCCTGTAATTATGCTAAAGGCTCTTTTGTCAGGGTATAATTATGACGGCACAACATTGCTTGTTTGCCACCATTAATAGCACCGCAGTGGCCCATAACTCCAGGTCTTAATTACAAAATAGTAGGGGGTATGAAGAGCCCGCTGCCGTTCCCTGCTACCTCAGCGGGGGAGCATGAGCAGAGCTTCAGGCCGGCGGCTGTGTAGAATGTCACGGCAGGAGGTCCTTCAGAGCATCACTAATATGCACGGGGGACGATTCCATTAATTATTCTTACCAAAATAAAAAAATTAAGCACGGGGCTTTAATTCTGCTTTGATGTCATACCAGTGCGTCCACACTGGGCTAATCGGACGTAGCTGCCCTACACATGAATTAGCGAGCGTTCGAAAGCAATTACATGGCATTAGCGCCAGACAAACGTCAAATAACACCGATAAATGGGAGGCAGGGCACAGACAAGCCTGTCTAGATGCAGACCTGATGTCACGTGACAGCGCCGTCTGAGCGGAGGGTCTTTGATTGACAACCCCCCCCCCTCCCATGTCAAACCCCCCTCCCATTCAATATTACCACAGCACACCTCATGTTCTAACCACTACAGCTAGTTCCCATGGAAACTGCCCCCGAAATAGGTTTTGATGGCAACACAGCCTCCCACCTGCAACTGCCATTGGAAGAGAAGAAATGAAGGGAGAGCAGGAGGGAAGGTATTAAAGAGGGCTGTGAAATGAAGAGAGAAATGGGGCAAAACTGAAAGAAGAGGGACGCTAAAAAACTAGCCGGCCTACTGACAGGCTAGCAGCCCGTTTGATGTAAGGCGCCCTTCATTGTAGACGCTATCAAAGCATTTTTTTTTTTTACAAAGGCTAATGCTATATCTTTATTGCTAGATGAGGTTTCAAAGCTTCAGGGAGGCGAGGGGGGGTGCTGTTCACTGTCAGTCACTGCCTGGTATAACCCAACAGGAACCAGCAGACCTCTGACAGTGAATAATAATCCCAACCGCGTGCTAATCCCGGCCTTTAGGAGCCCCAAGGCTTCACTGTACCGTGACTCTTTGGTACAAACAGTCGCGTTATCTTCCCCTCATTCTCACTGATCTCTGTGCCTTGGTGTTACTGTTCATTCACCAGAAATATTCTAGTTCCGTCTGTGCTCCGACGTTTTTCATGAGTCATCATGATGGGATGTCTTCCATAGGGTCAGCAGGAACATAAAGCGATGCAGTGAGAGGAATATCTCGCTCCGGGACTCTGTACGTCTTAGGACATCCCATTCCCAGGAACACGACGGGAGGCCGCGCTCAGGGAAGCGGCTTTTGCATAATCTCCGACAGTCGTCCCCAGCTCCCAAGAAAGAGACGTGAGCGGGACCTGAGCGTATTACCTTTCTATTTCAGGTAAGGCGCTTCCTCGCTCTCTATCGAGCCGAGGGGTGCGGAGAAACTACGTGAGGAGATAAGGACGACGTGTGAGAGGCCAGAGCGAGGAAATGGACTTGAGGAGGAGGATGATGTGCCCGTTTGTGGGGGGGGGGGGGAAGACGGTATAGCAGGGGCCAAGGGAAAGGAGTGAGAAAAAGACAAGCAGAGGATGGGATCGGCGGCAGATAGGCGGCACTTAAAGGCCATCAGCCCGGCCGCCGCCACTTATCGGCTCGTGCCAGAGGGCTGGGGGGCCCTACCAGCTCAGGCAGCTCCGGGGACATCGTCTCGCCAGCTGCGGGAGGGGGGGGGGCCACACACGCGCTGTCATGGCACTGAAAGGTACATCCCTTAGCAACAGTTACTGGAATGACGACAGAGTCCTTTTTTGGAACACAAATGGAATAATAAAACAAAAGGAGAGAGACTGGGAGCACTGGGAGCACTGACGTGGCACTAAAGGGGTCTCGTTCGTCCCCTTCCACTCGCAAAAAGGTGTCCCTGGCCTCACCACCATTTTAAAACAATGGTCTAAACTAAACCACCCCCCCCACCCACAAGCTGCCTGGCTCCGTCTGAAATGGTTTCTATATTGCTGCACTGCACTAAGAATCTTTCCCAGGAGGCACTAACGACATTCTCAGATAATCTCCCAGACTCCGGTCTGAACAATACAGGGGCCCAAAGGAACCAGCAGCACTGATTCATACGGGCTTTTATCAGCCGGTTAATCCAGTCAGAAGAATTACCGTTGTGCTTAAGAGATTTCCCATATTTTCTCATCGCGGGCCTCAAGAAATCTCCTCAACCCGAGGAATGACTCCGACTTCACCAGAATATGCATTATGAGACCTTTCTTAAGATCATTTAATTAGGCTAACGGCCAAAATTAAGACTTTATTTCCAAGGGCCGACACTCTCTGCTAGGGCTAAAATTTCTACAAGAAGAGTTTACTGCAGTGTTTCCCGATCCAGTCCTCAGGGATTTACAGACAGTCCACGTTTTTGCTCCCTCCCAGCTCCAGCAAAAATGTGTACCGACTGTAGGTCCC